TAAAACTCACACCCACAATCAAAAAGAACCTCTAAGACCTGTACCTCTGTCCATTATTTCAAATATACCAAGAGTAATTGTGGGTGTTCATTTTAAGCATCATGCTCCTTCTCAAATACTTGAAGAAGAAACTTAACTGAGGCGGAAGGAAAGGAAAAACATTCTTTTCAATTTGAGCTTCAATTCATGTAAGTTTTGGAATTTTTACAGCCTCATAATTTTTTTTCTAGAAGGAAACACTATTACTAAAAGACAACTAGTCTAAAAGCAAAAATACCATGTAATAAGACAAAAATATTAACTCAGATAGATGCAGTTCAGAAGTGATCTGACACTCTTTGTTTTATACCTTCTCAAAAGTCAGTTTACTTGAGAGATGCTTCCCAAGTGGTCATTCCTGGTAAATGAGTCAAAGTAGAGCAAAACCAGAAAATACCTTCATGTTCATATCAAAAGTTACAGATATATTTGCATTATTGCACAACATAATATACATAATATAATGAACACCTATTAAGCACACTCATACATGGTATACGAGCAAATTCTCTATATATCAGAATGACAGCTAACATTTTCTCCAGGTGAAAAGCCCATGCATTACAGTCTTAGCACATGACAGAAGTGACGTTAGGGACAGAGGTGAGTTAACCTTACCATAAAACTGAAACACCCAAAGTTTACTGGGAGGCTTCAAGAAAGCCTGGATATAATTAAAGTCAAGCGCAACATTCAGCGCTAAATGTAGCCAAGTCTTTGCCTCAAATGTGGTTTTGAGAGAACATTTCCAACTCTCAGCTTCCATGCACCTTCTATTCTTTGCCTGGACTTTGGATATGTTGCATCTAAGTACTGAAACACGTTAACAGTGGAACAAGAAAGACCATGTCAGCCTTGCATAGTTAACATACTCTCTGGACTGTAAGCAATGTAGTGGAATGTGTCTGTCTGTTCGCCCATGCAAATTTTCTTGATAATGATGACCTAAAATCAGCACATACCACAGGTTATATTGATGAACTCTTTGTGATACCACAAATCGAAATTTCAGCTTCACTGAAACTGTAGTGTAACACTTTTAAATAAAAACATTGAACAAAATAGCCAACCACTTCACTACTCTGCCAAAGTAACAAGTCCAGGAGAAAAACAAGTGCAGGAGAAAAACAGCACTGCTCTCTTGCAATTAAGTCTTTGTTTACAGCTGGTCAGAATACCAATGTTCTTTGGGATAAATGATTAATAAGAACAACTTTTAAGAAAGGAAATTATGCAGCTATCTTCAGGTTTCTCAACAGATAGAAAGTTCTTCTGGTTAAATCTATATGCAAATTTACCTTCCTTTTTCCTTTATCCAGTTTTACAATACTTGGGTTTTATTCACCCTCCTACAGACAGAACCACTAGGAAAACAAAGTAACATCTGAAGTATCATTCATCAGAATGATAAAGGACAAAGTAACGTATAGGTATAACTACAAAAGTGCCATGCCATTTGGTAACAAAATTTGATGAAAATCAGTTCTGTGGGCTCTATAAAGATCTTGTTCCTAGAGAATGAAAAGAAAGTTTTATCTCTATTCCATCTGTTCTATTCTCTGAAAGATTCGGTATTTTGAGATACCATGAATGTTCTACCATCATTTTAAAGATGTTTGTACTAGTTCAAAATTCCAAAATATCTAAGTAGTTCTCAGGGTTGTAAATTTAGATTATTTAATCAATTATCTTTCTATTAAATTTAAAACCACCCCGTATTTTGTAGTCTTGAGCATATGTACATTGTCAACAAGATAACAGAAACAACAACATAGGAATATCCATTTGTTTAAAGTTACAGTAAATCTATCTTAAGTTTCTTCTTACTCATGAGATTTCTTTTCTTTAATGTTTTTTTCCTATATAATCCCCTTATGACTTTGAAAGAAAGAAATCCTCCTGTTGCAATAAAAATTCTTATTCATGTAGCAGTTCAGAGAGGTGCTACATGACAAAGTAATGCTCAACTGTTTCCATCCCACTGTCATTAGAATAGGAGAACTCTCCAATTCCACTTATACTATTAAATGGACAAAGGCCAAGCTTCAAGAATTCTGCTTTTCCACTTTTACTTCTACTATTTGTTGAAGAAAAATATAATTATGTCAATGAATATAAAGCATACTTGTGTATATGTAAATATTAGCCTAATGTTAGTTCAAAGTGTAACATCAATTCAAACGTTGAGCCTTCACAGATCAGAACCATGTACCACTAGGCCACAAATACCCCTGAAGAATTCCCAACCTTACTTTTCCACTGATAATATTGAAGTTCTTTTAAAGAGAAAGCACTGAACTCTATGCTTTAGAAGAGGTGATCCTGTTCAGGTCTAGTTCTCCAAACTCTGACAGAGGAGAAAAATTCAACATATTTCAGTAATAATTGTAAAAGCAGAGAAAGTAAAAAACAACTTAGAAAACTTATTTTAAATATCCAAAAGACATAATAGGTCTTTTTATCCACATATCTTGTATCTATGTCTAGTCACTTCAGAAAGCACTTTCATTTTAATAATGTACTACTACATCATTTAATACATTTCTGCTAATTTGTCTTCTGGATAATTATGCCATGTGATATGCATATTTATTTTCTTTAAAATATGGAACTGTCAATTAACATGTCATCCAGAAATGAATTAAATGTGGAGAAAAACATCTTGATATGAGAAATAGTTTCTCTAAAGCAACACAGAAAGCCTTCACTAGTGGGGAAAATCCGTTCAGAGCAAAACTTATTGTTTTCCAATAAGTACATGCCCTTCAGTTCATGACCAGCTGATTTCCAGACTGACTACAGACCCAAGTTATCCTTTGCTCAAAGAGATAAATTGAATTATGTTGGCAATTAAAATAAACACACAAACACAGTCAGGCTGAACTTTTCTGCTAATGTAAGCAGAACTTGGATACAATTTTCCTGTAGCTGGTCTCAAATCCTTTTGAAAAATGGACCTTATGACACTACCAGTGTGGCAAAGCCTATTCTTAGGCTGATATCAAGGTTAGATAATAAAGAAGGGCCATCCTCACAGAAAAGTACAGCCTTCCTCATTACCAGCTCAATACTCAAAGAACATAAATCTGTGAAACCCTTTTCTTAGTCCATAACACAGCAGGGTAGCTGCACCCCCTGCTTGTTTCACGTAGAGCAGTAATGAGTCCTACATCACCCTATGTGGTTCAGTATCACAGCTGCAGTAAAGGAGGCCCTTACAATTCCTGGATGAAGGAAGTAACCAGCAGTGGTACCCTAAGGATACACTGAACATATGGAGAGAAATCAGTTGGGTTCAGAATTTCAAAAAGTCACTGAATGGTTTTGGTTGGAAAGAACCTTAAATATCATCTGGTTCTAACTCCCCTGCCATGATGACCCATGTTCAAAACCTCCTCCAGCCTGGATTTGAACACTTTCAAGGATGGAGCAGCTGCATCTGCAGCTGGTCTCTGGGCAACCCATTCCAGTGCTTCACCACCCTTACAGCAAAGAATTTCTTCCTAATTTCTCATCTACATCTACCCTCTCTCAGTTGGAAGCTAGTCTCCCCTTGCTGTATCACTACATGCCCTTGTACAAAGACCCCCTCCAGTTTTCTTTAGTTACCAGAAGGCTGCTTTAAGGTCTAGACAGTTCCTTCTCAGTGGCTCCCATTTTGCACTCAGTGCCCAAAGGAGGAAATGGAGAGCAAGTTTCATGTATAGTGCTGGACTTAAGGCCAAGCTCTACACCTAAAGATGTGCAAACATCTCTTTGAACACATATACTACTATGCATGGATTTAAAACCATTTTGAATTCCTCATTTTACACAGATCCTTGTGCAGGGCAGGTGGCAATTATGTCAGCTCACTGACAGACAAGACAATTCCTAGGGCATGCTGGAGACAAACAACGGAACATGCTGGCCCTTCTCTTACTTCTTCTCCTTCTATTCCACTCCCCAATATTATACACATATATGAACACATAGCATGCAAAATGCATACTAAAATGAGACTAATTCTGGATATACTATGGTGAAAATAACATTTCTAACCTATCAGATAATTTATATTTCAATTAATATCCAAATCAGTCTGCAGAGAACTGTAATAAGACTTGGGAAAATACAACTATTAGATGCAGTTTTGAATGTCCTACTAGAAAGCATAATGTAGTCTAAGATATCTAAACAATACAGCTTCCTCAGCAAAATGTTTCATCTCAAGGTAAATCTGATAAAATAAGTATCATATAAAGAAATACACACAAATCTTAAATTTATCCACAATTTTTCTGCACGGTCAAATAATTCTATTGAAAGCTGATTGAGAAGTTTCCCTTGTTTTCATCTAAAAATGAACTGATATTTTAAATCAGTACTAAAGATTATAAACCTTGCAGAATAAAATACACTAAAAATACAGAGTACAAACCTCCATTATTCCCCTTTCCCTTCCCACACCCAAATAAAGAGACTGCATTGAAGTACAAAAGACTGAACAGAATGGTCCTACTGAGCCACAGCATCTTCACTGTTTACATCATCTTTGCATTTCTGAAAATATGTACTGAGATCACTGCAGGAATTTATAAGGCCTCCTTCTTCTAGGAGTCCTTTTTATTAGTCCTTTGAAGAAGAAGCACATCCCAGTTCAGGAGTTCCCTTTAAAATGAATTACTTATTCATAGTTGATAATGATCATCAGATCTCTTTCTTCATGGTTCCCATATCATATAGAATTCCAGATATAATCTGCATGCCATGATGTTATGACATTGAAGCTCGTTGGATTGAAAGTAAATTACAACAACACTTCTAAAATCCACTTCATAAGCAGCAATTCTGCAATTTGTTACGACAAAACTACATCTACAACAACTTTTGGAGACACCATGCCTCAGGGTCCCATCTTTCATCTGCAGTTTCAAACAAATTTCTATGTATTTAAAAAGAAAGTAGTTTTCCAAACTTACGTTGACTTTGAAGCTTTGTACTGAGCCATCCAAAAAGTGGACGTTACAGATTATTTCTGATCGGGTTTTCTCTTTTGGTAGCTCTGATGCTCGTATGTTATTTATCCTCCCACCTAAGGCTCGTAAACGGGAGTTCATAACTATTGCTGAATAACCTATAAAACAAAAATTATGTTTAATGACAGTTCTTATAATTCTCTATGTTTGTTTTTCAGAGTAATTTAAAACATCATGAAGACCTCATTACACCCCAAGTTAACAAATGCTTCTTACAGAAAAAGAATAAGGTGTAAAATTGGCCTGTTGTAAACCAGAACATAAATGCATAAATATAGAGGGGTTCCCATGTTGTAAATCTGAACACTATCAAGAGAATTACAGGTAATCCCTGCAATGTATACCTGGGTTAGACAGTTTAAATCAGTAAAAAACCACAAACACCTTCTATAAAATAGGAAGGCAACGTCAAGACAATTTTTTATCATCTGTAACTAGGAAACCCCTTACCCACTTTTACATTTCCTACATATTTCTGCATTTACAATACAAGTTCCACTACAATAATTCTGTTTACTCTCAACTGACAAAACAGTCTTGAGCTAATGCAAATCAGGTTCTATCAAGTAACACTTGTTTCAGGAATAGATATGCAAACACCATATGTAAGGCAAGCAGAACTAACATTAAAACATGTCAGTATTTTACAGTCTAGCATACATAAATTCATGAAGCCAGAAATTTAAATCAAAGAACATGTCACAAGAAAAAACTTATTTTGTTACTTAGGCTTTTTTCTTTTTTTAAAAAAAGCTCTTCATGAAAACCAAAACTCTAAAAACCAGTATTTATAAATTAAAACCAACAAAAGAACATCCCATTAAACAGAAAAAGCCATTCATTGAAATAAGAGGTGAATTAAATGCAGACAAGCCTGTAAACATTTCAAGCCTCTCTTCACTGGATCAGTTTACCAATTAACATCGAAGCGTTTAAAGCCAGTTGGCAAGCGAAGCAAAGGATAGTTTTCCAGGTTAATTACCATACCAATTACCAAACCATTCCTCACTTATAAGGGGACAGCTACAAAGGGACTTGCATAATATGAGTGTTACGCATACTGTTGACCAAGCTAGACAGGACGTATATGAGCACTATTTTGCCATCTCCCCTTTTCTGTGTGTCTGCCTTAAAACACAGGCTGGCTTTTCTTTTACGCAGCTACAGAAATTGAGCAATTTAGGAAAAAAAAAATCACTCAAAGTACCAAAGAATTGCATCGACTACATATCTCTTTGAAAGGGAAACATGAAAAGCATGAAGAGCCATGAAATGTAAAATTGTATAAAGTAGTCTTTTTTTTTTGGGGTTGCAAAGACAACAAAGCAGCACAGTGATCCTTCTCCACTCAACTCTGTGTAATCTATACTCAGAAGCAGCTAAAACAATTGCCTTCTCACAGACAGCTCAGAAGTCAGACACACATTAGCATTCAACACTTCCAACAACACTCTCATGGCTTTTTTTTTGTCAGCCAATTGATAGTTCACCATTGTATACTTTCTAAAATCAAAATTGTAAGCTATCAAGACTCATTTTTTAGCCAGCATGCATTCTTTTCCTCAGAAGAGGTGTGGGTTGGGGATTTTAGATGTTTCTTTTCTCTGGCTCTTTCCTTTTCTTTTGTTTTTAAATGAGGGGATAAAAAGAAAGAGGTAATCTTTAGGAGAATTATGAAGAGTATTTCCATATAAACCACCAAACACTCCTATTGCTTTGAAATTTTTCTTGAAATACAGTCTGCATTTAATCATAGTTTTGGTTTTGTTCTTTTTTTATATCTAGAAAATAGGCTAATTCAGGAATGGTTGCTGTTAAATAAAACATACAGTTAATCCAGAATTATCAAGAGTATACAGAAAGTTGACGACAAACTATGATTGTAAAGGAAGCCTTCAATCTCACATTCTCTAATTTTCTAGCAGCAAAGTTTTAAACTATTTATTCAGCACTGTGTTCACCTTCCACCAAAAAGTCAAGGGACTACATGAATTATACTACAAAGTCTTTTTTCCACTCTCCATATCAGCTGGCAAAAAAACCCTTCTCATTTGCAGAAATAGCTCTCTACCCCTAGCCCACTGATGGGTAAGTGGAAGGTTATCCTACACTGTGGGCCAAGCCCTAGATGAGAGAGAATGCTTTGGTAGCCAGATCCAAAGCTTCATCAGCCTGGCCTTAAGGGCTCGTTCTGTATTGCAACACCTAATGGTCCCAGCACACAGACTTCTCCATTCCTGAGGAAAAAGGCTATTTGACCCTTTTGCTTATAATGCCAAACCTCTCTTACATTTCTACCATTCCTTTCCTCTATGCCCTGATTATATTCAAACTTTGTCAGGCTTTAGCAGAGCACAACAATCCATAGGAGTCTCCAGTACCCTGCTCCTGATCTACCCAGAGAGAAGGAGCAAACTGCTCAGCCCCTGAAGCCCTAGTGCAGAACATGCTTCAGGGTAAGCTACACTTGGAGACCCTTCAGACATTTTGATACCTAACTCTAATCCCTCTCCACCACAGCATTATTCTTTCAAGTGTTCCAATATAGCCAGTTCTCTCTACTCACTTGTTCAAGCTTCAAATGCAGAAGCCAATAAAATAGCATCAATAACATATATATATATATATACACATGTGTGTGTGTGTGCGTGTATGCTTGCTATCCAGAAAAAAAAAAAAAGAAAAAATTACCAGCAAAAAAAGGAAAACTCTTATAACTGCAAAAAATTTAACCTGAATAAACCAAACTGATGATTTTTCTTTAAGTGACTGTGCATAGTAGCACAAGTAATTACATGTCTATTTCATACCACAGTCCCTCTGTAGAAAGCCCAGCCTGTCTCCTGGATAACCTAAGCTATCCAAGAACTAACAGTGACACATACTTACATACTGCAATTCATTATAAAATGAGAGGTGCTTAATTTGAAATTTGTAGTCTCATGCTAGTTTTTTAGTTACCTCTGGTTCAACACCTTCTGGTGATCTGCTAGATGCTGCGTTATATGCCCAATGCCCCAAGTGAGGCAGTAAATTGGAAATTCATAATGAGAAATTCAAACCTGCTACCAGGACCAGTTTGCATTGGGTTCACAAATGAAAACCTGCAATTCCTTTCTTTTTACCATTTTATGTAAAATCACACCAGGAATACAGAGTTCACGATTTATGCTTTCGGCAAGCAAAGAGCCCCAGCTGAGGCTGTCCTTGACAAAGCCAGCTGACCACAGAAACTGTGCCAAGACAGGGACAAATAGCTGAGTGTTTGGATGCCACAGCTATCAGTCAACCGGAGCTCAAGGGGACTAATTAAGCTCTAGCAACCTGCCACCAGCTGGAGTCCCCTGCAGAGAAAGCCACGCCTTCTACTTCCCACCTCCATGGCCTTGAGCACCACTGTGCCAAGTGAGCTCCTCAGGGAGCTGTGTTATGGGTGTCACACCACAGGAACCTGCCCACACCACTCTGCACGTCCCACTTCACATGCTCAGCAAGTCGGCAAGGAAACAACTCAGTGAATCCCTAGCCTAAAGGGCAAGGGAAGGAGAACAGGAGACAGGTGAGCAGCTGAGTTGTTGGCACCTGCTCCATGACTTTTCATCCATAAGTGAGCTGTTTAAACCTGTATTTTAAATTGTCAGATTACTGGAATGGCTTATGGACCCCAGTACAACATGTAGAAGCATATAAAGGAACCTGCAATGGCAACTGCTTTTGAGGAAGGGAGAGGGACCACTGAAATCCCCAGCACAACCAGAGACCTTATGCTTCTAAGACAAGGGCTCTTAAGCCATGGCAATCACCCTCCAGCCCTGAGCAGCCAGAACCAGCCATTACATGCAAATCTCAGTTCCTGTTTGTAGCCTCAGGAAGGAGGCTGATTCAGAAATGAAACAAAATTTTTAAAAAACTGTAAGACAATTTAATTTAATCAACAAGTCAATACTTCAGTATTTGTTTTCCTTTCCCTAAAATAAGCATGTTTTCCCTAAAAAAAATCCAGGAAGTTGGGAGGTATATTTTAATTAAACAAACAAAACACACCGAAAACACTGTTATTTTCACAGTTATAAAGCACAAAACAAACATGTGAAATTCTATCCCATAATGAAATCATGCAGTAGGCTTACAGGAGAAACAAATACAAGTACAGCTATGGAAAGAAGTTAATGTTTTCCAAGTACATTAAACACATTTCTAGACAGGTTTGGTTATGCATGCCTTCTCCTACAGTAATGCTGCAGTCAAGCAGAACAAAAATAACATGTTTACCTCATCTTTTGTATTGAACACTGACTTTTAAAAATACTTTTTTTTTCCATACCAGCACTTTATTTCTTTCCAACTGCTCAGAAATTGTTGTTTTAAAAACTTAAGATTCCATTATCAATATAACTGCTGTTAACTTCTTTTTTTACCATAATTAAAACAAGGGCAGATTTGCTGAGTATACACTCAAGGGCCTTCTACATATAATCACATAACAGTGTATAACTGTTAATAGTTTTGTTGGGCTTGTGATTGAGAGTTTTTTGGGGTTTTTTTAAATAATTATTTATTACCTCCACCTCTTCAGGTCAATAGGGATAATTTACTCCTGTAAATGGGTGCACACATGTTTTTTCTAGGCGGAGACTACTGCACTAACTTTTCTTAGTTTATTACAGTCTTGACTGAAAATGTTGGCCTCTCAAAAATCATATATATTACAGAATCTGTGGGAATGTCTTTTACAAAAGGGTAGTGCTTCCAACCCACTTCCATTGTCTGAGTTACCACTCCTGACAAGGAAGGGAAAACCAGTAGTACTAATGACATGGACAAGCCTTGTGTGTCCTTTCAATAACAGTTACATTTTATGGTTATCTGTTCCTTTACTAAAAAGATACCAAATAAATGACGTTGGAATGGAAAGAGGTATAACGAAGTAAAGGTGCCTTTGTGACAATGTAAATCCCTAGACAACTGATACAAATGCTCTTCAGCATGCATCAGGCCATGTAGTTAAGAATTACTTGCACACCTTAAAGCTGTATCTATCATCAGTGCATTCTAACAATGACTAAATTATTCAGCCAGATTTTCCAAATAGAAGAATTAAGCTTAACTCACTACATATGAAAACCAGGTTCTGCTTCCACCTTCTGCAGAGGAAATGCTTCATCTTTTCTACATTCCCAATAAGAAACCAGACACCTCACTATTAATAAAAATTCAGCTCTTCTATTTCGCTTGGGAAAATCCCAAGAGGTATTGACCACAATACAAAGTACCAGACATTACTAAAGCAACAACCAAAGTAAAAGATAAACTTAATTTTGAGCAGTGTGCGCAGGTCACCATTTTACCCTTATTTGTAGTTATTTCCTCACAAAGTTTTCCTGACATATTCATGTTAGTTATATAGAAAGTAAATGTGGAAGAAGGAAGAAGCATGATGAAACTTCACATCACTTGGAAAAATAAAAGCTAAAAAAAATCTGACCCAAAGCAAACTATAAATATAGCACAAGCATGAAAGCCTTAGATGATTAAGCCTTACAGCTTA